CTTAGCATTTGTTGCCAAACAAACACAAATAATCTGGACAAGAAGGCGTTATTCACTTTGCCATGCAAATACTTCCAGACTGTATCATTTGGTGTCCTAGTTTATTTTCATAACTCCCAATATAAGATATTTTGCAATATAAGCAAAATTTTCTTGTCTGGTAATACTTATAATAAAATGCAGATACAGGAAGGCATCTGAAGACCCACTATTATCCACTCCATCTTTTGTTAGACTTGACAGGTCCTCCTTGGAATAATTTCTTTTTAACAAACATATGTGTTGACCCAGACTATGAGTCCATCTTTTCCTGTTTAATGGTTGTTTGGGAAGTAGGTTTTGTTGGGTAGCATGGATGTATCTATATGTAACAAAGTGTAAAATCATTTCACATGCTCACATAAAAAAAATATTATATGAGATAAAGGGCTATCTCAATTTAACTGGTTTTCCAAGCATATTTGTTATGTCCAGTCTGAAGTTTTGAGAGGGTCATTGGTGGTGTTTTGGGTTTTCATAGATTCATAGAATCATAGAATGGTTGAGTTTGGAAGGGACCTTAATGATCATCAGGTTCCAAATTCTTGCTATGAGCAGGGACACTAGACCTGGCTGCAGAAAGCCTCATCCTTAAACACCTCCAGGAATGGGCCTTCCACAACCTCCCTGGGCAACCTATTCCAATGCCTTCCTACCCTCATGGTGAAGAATTTCTTCCTGATGTCTAACCTAAATCTCCTTTCTCTTAGTTTAAAACTGTTACCCCTTGTCCTATCACTGCCCTCTCTGGTGAAAAGCCCCTCCCCAGCTTTCCTGTAGACCCCCTTCAGCTACTGAAGTTAGTTACTTCCTTGGAAACTTCAGATTTGTTCCACCTACATGTCTTTGTAACACTGCTCATACAAAAACAGTGACATTTCTATATCATGTTATTTACTTTGATCTTGAGATTACTTACCAATTCTATTTTATTTTCTTATTCATGTAGCTGTTCTTCTAGGGATTTTTCTCAAATATTTAAAGATCTATGGGTAAACTGAGAAAAATCTACTGCATTATTTGATTGCAAAAAAAAACACTTTTCTGCATTAGTCTGCTTTTTAACATTCTGTAGTGAATCTATACGTGTGCATATATGTGTGTAAGCAAGATAGTCAAGGTGAGAGGGGAGTACGACAGCAGTGCCAAGTGTATGTATGGTGCTTTGTATTGGCATTGCTGTATCAAGAAGGTGTTATTTTCTCCCTTTTTTTTTGCTTGCTCAAAGAAATCATAAGCATATATCTGTGAGAAAAAGCTTACTGCTGTTCCATGATTCTAGTGAGTAAGGCAAGTCCTGTAAGGAGATAACTTTTACAAAATGTAGCTGGAAAAACAGCAAGCTTTAAGGGCTTCGTGTAGAGACTTTCTTCAAAATAGGAGCTGCAGATGTATTGCTAAGTAGACATTAATAACATTGTTTGAAATTAACTAATTTAAGTTAATTATGTGGTTCTGCAAAGGAAAAGTGGTTGCTTCCTTTGGAGAAGAAAGGAATGTTAACAGGGAGAAAGGTGATCAGGTCATTAGCCCTTCTGCCTGGAGAACCCATAATTTAAAGCTGGTGGTTGTGGTGAGTGAGTCCTATTACACATTGATTAAAAACATGCTTTACTCCAAGACGTCTATGGATAGTCAATATTGCATTTGTATCCAATCAATGCTGCTGCACTTGTACCACCCATTGGTGAACTTTCTTTTTCATAAAACCACCTACGTGGTTTTGCATATTTACATTAGACACTGCATAGACAAACTTTCAGACACCACAATCTCTGTATAGGAGGTATATTCTTCTTTCACAGTAAAAGTGAACAAACATTTACACAGGTCTCTCCAACCATCTTTTCTAATGTATGCATCATACATATATGTATTTGAATGCAGACTCTTATAATAAAAAAGCTTTTAAATATAGTTTCTCCTACTTCAGCTTATCATTGTACAGCAACAGCAGGACTACCACTGAAGAAGCAGTATGAATTTCATTTTAAAGCAAATTTTTGCCCCAATTATCTGTTAAACTGTGATTAGATTCACATCTGTCATGCTCAAATATAAAAAATAATCTGTGAAATCTCAAAAAAATCTGAGCATTTTTTTCTGAATTTGTTCTGAAATATGTTCCCAAATGTCTTTATCAGTTGGTAGAGATGATTTGGCATTGTATCAGAGATTTGTGAGACATTTCATGTGTCTGCTTCAGCATTATAGCGATTGCCTTTTTTAGTGAAACGTGTTGTTAAACGTAGCTGGCCACTATCCATATTCTGAACTTGAGGGTACATTGAGCAGACTTCATTCCATGCATTGATGAGGATGACCTAAACCTATCAGGGCAATTAATGAAGATTGGCTGCTTTAGGAGATATTCCAGGGTTTGGTCTGTTTGCCTGTTGTTTTCCTAGAAAGCTTTACAGCTCTGGGCTGATCATGAGAACACGAAGTGGTTATGAATCCAGCACTGCCCTGGCTTTCCACTTAGCAAATGCTCTTACACCCTCTTGAGATAAGGCAGTGGCAGCTCTGCTGTGTGGGAAGCCCAGTGCCTCTTGCTAAGTGGCTAGTTCAAATTAGATATGGCAGGAACGCAGATAGAAGGGCATTTCCGAGTTGACTGGCAGGGTTTAATAAATCCCAAGTGAGAGGAATGATTGCGCTGCAAACAACTTTGGGAGAGCTGCTAGTTAAGAACTTTCACACGCCTCATTTGGCCTGTTTCCAGCTCGAGGTAAGGGGGAAGGGTGCAGGAGGAATGTGCTTCGAAAGATGACTTGGCCCTAAGCAATCAAGTGTGACTGTTTTATGAAAATCTTCCATCTTTGCCTACCAGATAGTTCTGTTTTCTCTTTATCAGGGAAGTTTTCTGTTCACAAAGAACAGCCAGGAAGGTTGGGCAAGTTGGATTATTTTCAGACTGAAATCTGCACATCTGATTGATACTCAATACACTGCAGTATCTGAAAAAAGAATACAAGGCAGCTGCTGTGTTGGTTGGACAGCTAGTTATTAGACATTGACTAATTTTCACATTTTTATAGAACAAGATTTTTTTAAGATGTGACATTCCATCACTCCATCCTCTGTGGGCAAACTGAATAGTAAGAAAGATGGGAAAAACATCCTTTAAATGAGAAGCATCACTTTTTTTTCACCTGCACAGGCAGTACACTTTCAGATCATAATCTAAATAATCCAAATTATAAGAAATTGGAGTAAATAGTACAAATTCAGCAAATAGCCAAAGCTGATGGATATAATTGGCTAAATACAGTTGTGCTTGGTGATGGAAGTGAAATGTAACTGTGTCGATGCTACTAAAATAACCCTTCCTATTGCTTTTTGTACCAGAGAGCAGAGTATTCTGTTCTGCTGCAGTTTGCAGCCTCAATACATCAAACTTTTATTTTTCCATATGTGTTTCTCTCTGCAAACAGATGTTGCCCCAAGGCTGCACATAGCAGTAGGTTTTTCCATAAAGCACATGAGCTCGCTGTCTCTGCAGGTTTCTTGTCTGTCTCCTCTACCACAGCTGCTGTGTCTCTCTGGCTTTTTGTAGCTGCTGCCACCCTGATGCTCTGGGGTAGGCTGCTGAGTGCAGCTACGCTCTGCAGGACAGGGGGCCTGACATTAGTTAGCTGCTTAGCCATGGCTCTCAGATCCTCTCACTCTACAGAAATTAATCCATGTAGAACAGTGTTAGAAGCAAAACAAGTCAGCCCTGACAGGCTTATTAAAAGGGGTCGAAGCCAGAGCCTTTGTTGAAAGTAGTGCCAGCACCCTGTTCCTGTTGACTCAGAGATTATCTCACTCCTCATTCATTAGAAGGGTCAGAGGTGTCCTATTGAAAAGATATCCTGGCCTGCTAACAAACAGCAGGTGCAGCCCCTGCCTGGGGACACAGAGACAAGTTGCCAGTATCGTGGCAAGGCTTTCCAGCCCTCATCACTGGTGGTGCACATCAGGGCCTCTTCTTTCAGCACCTCATTTCATGGTGTGGAGGTACAGAGCCCCATTCTTCCTCCATTTTTCATCAGCTGCAAACCTTAGAGGTTTGTATGACTGCAGTTTTCAATACATGCCCATGAGCACCTAGAACAATATGAAACAGTGTTCTTGTAGGAGAGCATAGTGAGAGATACTGGTATGTATTTATGCACTTGAGCTCTATATTTTTTGTAAGACAAATGAAAAATTACTCTTCAAATACTTTTTATGGGAACTGGATGACTCCAGTTTAAGATTGCAATGAGGAACAAAGATTAAATTCAGATTTGGTAAAGTATAATTAAATAAAATGTACTTATTGAAGTCCTTTGATCTTAGCTTTTTAGTCTATTTCATGGAATATAGCTTGCATAATGAATGAAACTACCTTATCAAAACAATGGAAAACTATATATTAACTTCCTAGTTAAGATATGTCTCCATCCACTTTCTACATTAGAAATATGTTCATCTTAAAAACAAACATCTTGGCTTCTTTTGACACTGTTGTCTTTAGAACATGTTATTGCATACTTAAATTACAATGAAAAGTTTGTTGGTAAAATGGGTTGAAATCTACATTGCTATTGCCTTAGTTGTGAACAGACACCTTTTATCAGAAAATTAGCTTTTCCTTAAGGCAGGGAGTTGAAATAGCTGACTGAAGCACTGTTGGATAATCAGCAGCATTAATGCATTCAATTTAATATTGTTTCATTTTTCACCCATATTGTCATTATTTCCTATATTAATCAGTTATCATCACCTCATCCCCTTCCCACGGTGTACTTGGTTTCCTTTTGCTTCCACTGGGTAGTTGCTGAGTTGTGCAATAGAAGTTCTGGGAGAAGGGAGGGTGTTCAGGTTTTTTCCAGTATGAAGCTGAAAAAGACTGTCACTTAGAGGTTGATCTTTGCCTTTGCCACTGCTGAGGTCTCAGGATGTTCCTCACTGTCTCTGTTCTCTTACTTCAGATAATTCAGCCCCTCTTAGAACTCGATCAGAATCGGAGCAAGTTGAAGTTGTACATTGGACATCTGACAGCCCTGTGCCATGACCGTGACCCCCTGATTCTGCGTGGACTCACCCCACCTGCTTCCTACCACTTGGATGATGACCGGGCAGCTTGGGAGAAAGAGCTGCAGAAGATGACCCAGGAGCAGGTGAGTCTGTGGTCTGAAGCTCTGAACAAGGGCCTGAACTGCTGGTGTGCCACACCAAAATGTTGGGAAAACATTCTGTAAGTGGTGAAAACAGGTAGCAAACATCCAGTCTTCACCAGACAGAAGGAGTCAATAATTTATTGAATCATCGCCATTTAACATCATATATTCCATATATGATGGAATTTCATCTGTTCTTTTATTTGAACTTGAGGCCATGTATCTACACACTCACGGGAAATCAAACTGCAAGATACCACTTTTGCTATGTTTTACCTTTTAACAAATTTTACCTGCTCTACATAATTTAAGGTAGTCCTAGGGATCTTAAATCTTTTTTTAATGACATTAGCCATTTATATTTTACTTGGCAATTTTTCATGAGTCACTTCATGGAAACGAAGACAATGTCTTTAACTTCTGTTACAGTATGTTCTGCCAGTAACTTTTTTCTGCTTACAACCTTACCTGGATACCTAAATCAAAATTTGGACCCAGTGTACTAGATTAAGTACCCCCAGCTTATGCACACGTGAACACAGTGATTTCAGAAGTCCAACAGTGTATTTCCAGGAGTTTTGGAATACAGAACTTAAAGGGTTTAGTAACAGCTCATCTGATGAAGTCTCTACAGAGACTTCTATCAATCTAGCAGTAACTTAGCTACCGAAATAATCTTCCTTTCTCCCAGCCCTGGGACTGTCTTTCCTTCCTTAATCCTTTCACTGAAAGTTTTTATCTCTTGTTTTCGTACTGTAAATCATCATTCCCCAAAACCCTTTTTCTCATTCCCTCTTTCTTTTTAACTTAAGAATTTTACTCCCTTTTCTTTCCCTAGTTGTATCAAAAATATTTTTTGTCTTTTTGACCCTGACATTGGATTACAAGGCAAATTCTTTCACTATATTATTCACTTTCATATGTCTATACCCAACTCAATCCAGTATGCACACAAACTAGTGTAAGGCTTATATAGTTAAAAGTTTGTTTTGCAGGTCAGTGAAACTATCTTGAGCCTACCCTGAGCACTTCAGCTCTGGTTTTCTTTTCTTGCAATGTTTAAGCTCATTTCCTTGCACTTTCAACTCAAAGCTGAATTTTGATCCAAAAATTGGAGAGAGCTATTCAGCAGCCAAGTTACAGGAAGCCAACAGAAGCATGCCTAACAATTCAGAAAAAAGAGCAGACCTCTGGAGATAAATATTCCTGTAACAGGGCCTAAATAGTACAAGGCAGTTGATCTCTTTTCGTACCTGTCTTCATACATTTATTTGATTCAGATGTGTTGTGTACCTCACTCGGTATCTTAATTTGCCTCTGTGGACCTGACACATTCCTTTTCTCAGCAGAGCAAGGTAGCCCCTACACACCTGAAGTCAGCATTTTAGGTATGTCTTGGTTTCCACAATCAGTGATACAGGATTAAAAGTTTTTCAGTGTAGTGCATACCATCTTCATATATTAAAGAGATATGGCTCCTGTTATTATAGCCAGAAACATGGAGCATACCATTTAAATCTGCCTTGTCTGTCAGACTGGGATGAAGCAGCAATGACAAAACCTGTAGCAATGCATGGGAGGTGTCTCTGAAAACAAAGATAAAAGCTGGATGTGGGCAAAGTTTTAATATCCCTGAAATAAATTGACTTGTCTGTTATAGCTGTGATGATCTTCTAATATAATCAGGATCTATGGAGATAGGTGATATCTTCTATTTGATCAGAAGATGTAGATAAAGAAAATAGAAAAGGCTTTCTTTGGCAATCTTTCTGAATAGAGTCAGCCCAAAACAGCATCTGTTTTTTCCAGTTCTGTGTACTGATCTAATAAAAGATAATATTTCTCATGCAAACTTTATTAATCCATTAGCAACATTTATTGAAAGAAAGCACTGAAGCGTAAATTGTGAGAGAAAAAAATTATGTAAGTTGTGCTGGAGAAGAGAAAAAAATGTTATTTTCTCTCTTTTCCCATTATTGTCTTAATTCTGAATTGCTGTCACCACAGTTGTTGAAAGTTACTGCTCTATTTGTGATTCCCATGCATAACTAACATCTGCTAAAATAAAATGTAGTAGTCTCTTCTGCTTTCCCATACTCACTTAGATTGTATTTAACAAGCTTCAGTTGAAAAATACAAACTAATGATATATTTCAATTTACAAAGCACATTTTTCATTTAAGTCATAACGCTTTTCTGTTTCTAACTGCAGAATTTCCTTTGTGTTTAAAGTATTCCCATGGGGGGGTGGGAATCAGTTCTCCAGATTTGCAGAAGCCCATCACAGAATACCCATTTTGCATCTTTGGAATTTTAATGAGTTTTGTAAATTACTTCAAATCCAGTGCATTAAATTCTCTCCTGTCCCTTCTAATATGATCTTCTGTAGATAATGCTTCACAAGCCTCAGTGGGAAAAAATTAATCCTCTTGAATGTTAAGAAGTGCTAACATTATTAGAGAGGGTACATTTAAATTAACACAAATAATATTTCATAATGATGCCATTGTATCCACTCACCAATAAGGTTATTTAGTGTGTTTTGTTTGGTTTGTTTTTTTATAAATAGTTGAGAATTCATTTTCCTCTGCCTGCTTTCGGAGCTGTGGTTTCCCACTACAGCAACTACTATTGGTAAAGGTTGGTCTTGCTGTGTTTCATGATATACCTTGTAGGTCTCTCATACCTGCTGAGGAGGCTCAGATACAAATAGTAGGAGTTTTCTGTGGCCTTTTCTGGTAGGTAAAATATGAAGTAGGTGTAAGCTTTTCACTCTTCCAACACATCCCCAGTGACTTGCAGAAGCTAATGTACAAGTCACTGTAAAAGCTTCTGCCAGCATCAAACCCATGATTCTAAGGAGAATTTGTTGCCATGAAAATAATTTTCTGGACTCTCAAAGTTTGATGGATAATTGGTACCTCTCATGTATAATAGTTTATTTATGCTACCATTAAGTTCAGCTATATTCCTTAGTTAGTGACATCAATGGATTTTAATTAAAATAAGGGGTCAAGATGCTGCATAATTCGTTGTTAGCATTTTATCAAAGACATTTTGTAAAGCTGACTTTCTGTTGTAAAGTTTTGGTCCATTTGTAATGAAGGCCTGAAGGCAGCGCTTCACGAGTGTATGGTATCTCAAAACCCAATCTAAACTACTATGCCAGAATAAGATGTGGACAATAAAGAATCTATGGTGCTTGGAGCCATGTCATTAAGTTACTCCTTTGGTGGAAAATATTCCTTTAAGTCAGTTCTGACCCAACGTCCACAAAGAATTTAAGCAGCACTGTTTCTGGAAGTGTTCTTCTTTGATCGGTTCATGTCCTGTTCAACTTTCCTTATTAGAAAAATTGAAGTTACCAGAAAGAAGAAATAATGTTCCAAGTCTCAACACTGAGAAATAAAAATTCCATTCATTCATTATAAGTAATTGCATTATCCTAGCAATTTCTATTAAATACAATATTTTCTTTCACTTTGTCCTAAACATATCATTATGTTAATATTCTTGGGCTCTGTGGAACTACTGCTATGCTTCATGTTTCAGATGGTCACCTTCAAGTAAGGGATTTTATTCCTATATGAAAGGAAATGACATTAAGAACATAATTATATGTTCAACATTTTTATTTATAGTTAGGTTTTTGTTTTTCTCTTATCTTTACAAAAAAGAAAGAATGGAGTAGAAACAGGAACTTGCTGAAAATTATAATTTAAATATGGTGGTGGTGGTGTGTTGCACTGTGCTTGGAAGGCAGCATTGTGAAAAAAGTAAAAAGAGAAAACCAAAGTGAGCAACCAGATGTTAGTAGGCTTAAACAGTATCGTTAAGTGTTTCTTAGTGCTCCAAGCCCAGCTCTAAAATGTGTAGAAGCTCATATTGTGGAGAGCTTCTTAGTTTCCATAGGTCATACCATCATAAAATGGTTTGGCTTGGAAGGGACTTACAAGATCATATAGTTCTAAGCCCCTGCATGGGCAGGGACACCTCCCACTGAATCAGATTGCTCAGAGCCTCATCCAACCTGGCCACGAACACTTCCAGGGAAGTGGGCATCCACAGCCTCCCTGGGCAACCTGTTCTAGTGTCTCACCAGCCTTACATGAAAGAATTTATTCCTAGTGTCTAACATAATTCTTCCCTCTTCCAGTTTAAAGCCATTACCCCTCTTCCTATCACTACCATCTTGTAAAAAGCCCCTCCCCAGCTTTCCTCTAGCACCTTCAGGTACTGGGAGGTCACTATAAGGTCTCCCTAGGGCTTCTCTTCTCCATGCTGAACATGCCCAGGTCTCTCAGCCTGTCTTCACAGGAGACATGCTTCAGCCCTCAGATCATCTTTGTGGCCCTCCTGTGGACTCGCTCCAGCAGGTCCATGTCCTTCTTATGTTGGAGGCTCTAGAACTGGGCACAGTACTTCAGTATTTCAGAACAGGTCCTGCAGTTGTTCTGAAAAAAATATTTCTTCCAACAGAAGAGGACCTATAGGACCTGGGCGGGTATATTTCCATGAGATGCTCTCTCAGAGGATTCCTGCTTTGGGAGCTTGTCTCAGCCCACTGACACAGTGTTGTGAGTTATATAGAGAGGGGCTTTTGAAAAATCTTTATGGTCACAGAAGAGCGTTTGTAGTGAGAAAAGGTTGTCTTCCCTCTCCTTGTACCAGCTTCAGCCAAAGCACTGACTATCTAGGGATTCCTACCTACTGATCTTCTCCCAAGAAGACAGGAATGTATTTTCTGCTCAGCTGCTCAAAGCAGAAGAAGGAAGAAGGTGGTAATATCACTTCACTGTGTCAGTCACAAGCTGCTGTATCAGCTAAATAGCCATGGCTTGGTTCCATGAAGCATAATTTACATTGCACAGAATTCATGTTTCACTCTCAGCAAAGCTAATGTTAATCTTTTCATACAAAAGCACATCAGATCATCTGTATGTAGCTTTCAAATTCTATTTTAAAATTGCATACATGGTTGCTGAATTTTGAAAGTATTA